TAGTATGACTTTGAGTTATAAAAATAATTTCTCCTCATATAGGGATAAAATTGATGTGTAAATTTCACCCTCCTCGAATTGTACAATAGCAAGAATATTTAGGGGTGTTCCATGTGGCTTATTTGGAAAAGTATGAACAAGTCATAGCTTAAATTGGTCATCATATGTGAGCAGCCGACAAGTGACTCTAAGACATATAAAAGATTATGAAAATTATAACAAATTAATTCTCATAAAACCAACTTTATCAGGGTATTATAGTCATTTCCACACCAACAAGGCATGCTTTGCTTACAACTGATCCCAAACGTCTCTCATTTTTTGGTATCATGATCAGGGGTGTTTGGACCAGTTAACGTGTAAGAATTGATAAACTCTTTTTTAAAAGTTATTGTTCAAAACCACATAAGAAATTTTCAAATCTCTCTCAAAAAAAAAAAAAAGCCCCAAAATATGTGTGTGGTGTTACATTGATTAGGAGGGATTAGATAAAGAGTAGTTTGAATCCAACTAGGCAATGGGTCCCAAAGGTATCATGATTATTGTATAGATGCTTGTGGATTTGATTTATGCTAGAAAAAAAATAAAACAACTTGTCCCAGCAGCACATTGATTAGGTTACACAAGATAAAAAAATATTTGATATAAACACATTTAATGCAAAAATAAAAAGTCAAAAAACAGATTAGAACGCCCATCTTTGTTGAACACTCCCACCTGTCATAGGACTTGCAGGAATGGCACAGAGAGAGAGAGAGAGAGGGAGGGAGAGAGATAGAGAGTCTAAATTATATTTTGAGCTTCTTTGTTCTCCAAATTCTACTTCAAACCCCAATTTTTTTGGGAAAAAAAAAGTTAACCTTACCCACACAGAATTACATGAGAGAGAGAGAGAGAGAGAGAGAGAGAGAGAGAGAGTTTGAATTATATTTTGAGCTTCTTTGTTCACCAAATTATGTTTGAAACCCCAATCTTTTTCAAGAAAAAATTATCCACACGAAATATATTACATCAAAAACAAACCAGAGACACAAACATATTCCCATGATCAAAAAAATTGTCTCAAAACTAGTATAGTACCATCATGTGTATAAGTAACAAGAACCTAACAGAATTACAGGAACCACACAGGCAATTTCCAACCCACTTCAAACATCATCAAACCGGAACTATGACTTACGGTGGCCGGTTCTGCGCTTCTGGCCGGTCGCCCGCTTCCCGAACATGCCACACATACCGCAGCTGGAGACCTTCGGAGACGGTGGGTCGGCAGCGGGTGCGACGTTCATGGAGCGATATGCTTTGTTACCATCGGATCGACTACGTTGCATGGTCTTTGTTGTGTCTTCTTCATTTTTAGGCCTTATTTGCTTCAATTCCCCAGAGAAGAGCTTGTCATCCCATACCAAACCTGATGAACCTGATCTTCTAAAGGACATTTCAGATCTTTGCAAACCAGCCATGCCCCTCTCTCTCTCTCTCTCTATTCTCTTTGATAAGATTTAGGATATTCTATGGTGCTTATGGATTTGATGGACTTATATTTATTGAAGGAGTGAATAGTATATGAAAGAAAGAGGAGAAAATGACAAAGAAAGAATAAGGAGAAATTGTCATAGGAGGGCATCTAGCCACTTGGTCAAGGCCAAATTACAAATATGTTCCTTTTGTGGAGTTATGAATGTGCTCCTTCCAACTTTCAACGCCATTGGACTTTTAAAGTTTCGTTACTCCATTTTGTTGACTTACACAGAACTTTACATGAAATGTTGGTGCCACATTGTGTTTTTAGGGTGAAACTTTTTTTTTCCTTTTAATGGACCGGGGGTGTCTAGACAAGTATATATGTCTTTTTATTAATTTTTTCTCTAATTTTGTTAAAGATAGATCATCCACACCTGGACCTAACTCAAGAAGTTATCAAGATTTGAATTCATGACGTAATTTAAAATTTATCTCTATTACTACTTGAATTATCTCTTTAAGTTTTGGATGAAACTTTTTGACACAATATATAATATGAATTTCAAAATAATACGATATGAATCGAATGACAAATTTTAGTTTTGTTGGGATGTGAATCAGTTAGATGTTTAATATGCTGGAGATCAATGTTTGGTGGAATTAATTGAGAGAAAATATATTGTATTTTTGATCTTTAAATTATACATAAATGACACAAAGATAAAAATAAAATGAATAAGATACGTGCCCGAACATAACACGATTCGAATGGAAACCATTGATAGAGTGGGAAATGGGGATTCTCGTAATCGTGGCAGCTGTTAAAAGCATGTGGCAGGTATTAGTCATTGACTTTAAGATGGGTATGTATTTCCAATGATTTAGCTTTTGAAGAAGTAAGTTTTGGAGTACTTCAAATTCAAACTTCAAAATATGGCAGCCACTTCTGAATTCTCCAAAAAAACAAGAAGTTAGGGGAGAAGACAAAAAAGAAGTCTGACGTTATTATTTGGGTAAATTGTAAGAGCACACTAAATTAGATTTATTTTATAAAAAATACACACTAAAAAATATAGGGTTATTAAATACTTAATTTTGATATTTATTTGTATCCAAGTATATAATTTTAATTTATTTATTTTTATTGTGACATTTTTGTCCTCCATTAATCCATGTGCATTTAATGCACCATTTGTTTTTTGTAAAGTGGTGCATTAAACATCTTCAAGTTTTATAGGAGAACTTTAATACATATATATATATATACTTATATATGTATGTATGTATATACTTGTTGTTAAATCTCTTATCTAAATTTTGAATTATCTTTTAATGCACCTTGATTCATTCATTTTTTTTTAGAAAGTGATTTTATTTTCAAATTAATTTAATATCCAAATAGTATAATAGTAACAGTGTAACAATATAAAGTGTAGCAGTGTAACAATAACAATGTAACAGTATAACACTAACAATATAACAATAATAGTGTAGCAAGTTATTTATACAAAATATTGTACTATTACATTTTGTCAAACATATAGTTTCGTATAATTTCATTCAAAATAGTTCATCTCCGTTTTGAATTTGTTACCATATACACAAAACTACTGAACACTGTTTTTGTTACAGTGTATTTGTTACACTGTTATTATTACACTGTTATTATTATACTATTACATTATTCGGATATTAAATTAATTTAAAAATAAAACTATTTTCCAAAAAAAAACGCTTGAATTAAGGTGCATTAAATATAATTTGAAAACAAAATCACTTTTAAAAAAAAATATGCATGAATCAAGGTGCATTAAAGATAATTCAAAATTTAAATAAGAGATTTAACAACAAATATATATATATATATTATTCCCTCTGATCTTAAATATCTGTCGTTTTACCCAATTTTTTTTGTTCCACAATATCTGTCGTTTTATGAAACCAAAACATAATTAATATTTTTTCTTCCAAATTTACCCTTATCTCTTTGTTTTCTAATAAGTGCTTAATAGATTAAGTGTAGGCTAAATGTCTTTCATATTTTTTTCTTTCTCAATACATATTGCATAAGAGTATTTTAGTCTTGTGCCATTATTTTTTACTCATACTGGAGTTATTTAATAGCTTCCTTAATCCCTGTGCAAAAACCTTAAACTACAGATATTTAGGAACGAATGGAGTAACAAATACACATGAATCAAATGTGCATTAAATATGTATTTGTATGTATTAACAAACACATATGAATCAAGGTGCATTAAAGATAAAAGATTTTGAATTAAATGACCCTTAAATAGGCATTTATGTCTTTTTAACTCACATTTTGTTCTATGTTCTTTTTATCAAATAAGTCTAATTAGGTGTACCGACTTCCAAAGACCCCTTATTATTTTATAGCTAACAACATTGTTTTATTAAGACCACATGTGTGATGGATTTGGATTCTATACAATAGCTGATTTGTGTTGACTTGTTCATCGTCAACAGAAAGCAACCAAGACAAATTCAGCACTGATAAATTTTCACCAGATAACATCCGAAGATATTCATGGTAGAAATGAGAATTATCAAGATTAACAAATGCTTGGCAATTACCATAGCATCCTTCTGATGACCCTGGAAAGAGTAGTCGTACGTATTACGTTATGCTAGTATTGTATTTAGATTATATCGTGTCAATATCTACTCATATATATATATATACCTCGATCTATATGTCTTGGTGTATAATATAGTTCATGTCATATCAAAATCGACTAGTGAATAATCAATATATAGTTGGTTATAATCAGATTTATATTATGTGTAAATACATGTATTAAACTGATTTGGTTGGTCAACCCATCATTATACAAACTCATTGCCAGCCGTAGAAGAGATCAAAAAGAGAGTAGTAAAACACAGGTTACCCCTTACAACCAGTAAATTGAAGTCCACGGTATGGTGACCTTTTCTTTAAAATTTCACCTAGCATTAAATGAAAGGTCAATGTTAGGGGTTAAGCTTGATGTAAAATTTAAACAAGTTTCAAATAAAGTTTAACCACGGCTCATCTATTTCTGTAACCGATCTAAAACGAGCTTTTGTTGAGCCGAGCTTGAGTAACTTCCCTTACAAATCTTTCTCAACGCATCTCAAATTGTCCAGAGAATGTCCCAATTGAAGAATCCATAGAAAAACTCAACAAAATCATGGACTTACATATTAATGGATTAAAGAAATACACAAAAGTAAACATTAAATAGAAAATATCGAGAGGTGGGATTGATCGAGAACAACGACAATATACAATCAACAGAACAAGAAGGAAAAATATAGTCAACAAAATCCCAACGGCAACCTCCAAAATCTAGTGTAACTGAATAAATATGCAATTACTTAACTCTTATGAGCAAAGAAAACAAAATTATGAAACAAAACTTACACAAGCATAGAGAAAAATTAAATCATAGTTGAACAATATACAATAATCACGAAGGGTACCGCATAAATCACATCGTAAAATGAGGCTGGTAAACTATATAGTATCACCCTAAACCGAACCCATACTGGAAAATTCTGGGTAAGAATTCGTATTAAAATCTCGAGTTTTCAGAAACAGAGAAACATGGTCATCAATAGCGGTCAAGCAGTAGCTTTTCAATTCAAATGCACCATCGGCAATGTAAAATTTCATAGCCAACTCAATTACCAGAGTGAAGTTATGAAGTTCATAACAAATCTGTTTATGCAGGAAACAAACAATATCCTGATCAAGGAAGGTTAGGCTTACAATGGTAATCAGAATATTAAAGACAATGGTCCAAGGAAAGTCTCCGAAGAGTCCAGAATGCTGGTGAGCTTCTTCTCAAGGCCCTCATTTCTGTCTAGTGAAACGAAAAAACAACAATTTCCTCCAAGATGCCAGCATACAAGACTTCAAACACCATAATACAACACAAGACAACTTCTTCTTATACCTTTTGTCGTCATCGTCTTCGGCAAAGTTGTTTTCACTTCGACTTAATGATCATGAGTCTGCTCACGTGCATATAAGATCACTTTCTGTTGAGCCATCATTCAGTACCAAAACCCTACCCGCTTTTGTCCTTCAGGATTTCGCTGAGCCGTTTAGGACCCTGGAATTCTTCTGATGTTGTAAAGTCCGATGGCCCTGTTGTCCCAAAGGAATCTCCATTTTCTTGTGTTTTTTTCTTCTCTTCCTTAAGTTGGGCAAGGGTCTTGGGCCCAGTAAACAAAGTAGAATCTTCAGTAGACCTCAGCTTCTTTGAAGCAGCCTTCCTTGGGACTTCAGATGAAAGAAACTGCTGTCTACCTAGCCTCTTTTCCTTAAAATGCTGCCCAGACATGTTTATGCGAGAATGTATCGATCTGCCTTGCTGGTTGGCACCATTAGATAGAGCTTCATTCTCGAAGTGTGATCCAGTGTTATTATTTTCCACTCGTGATGCCAATCTACTATGCGGCCGCTGAGTACCCTGCCATCGGGGCCTATCCCCGATTCGACCAATCAGACGAGATGAATGGGGTCTTCTTGAGAAATGGTTCCCAGAAGGTACATCTATCACCCTCCGTTTCCTCAAATGGTCTCTAAGATCCATACCACTCCGGCCATTAAATGACTGCTCCATTGGTAAGAATTTCCTTTTCCGTGGTGAAACATGATCCAACATTGTCTCCCTTGAGTGCACAGGACTTTTTCTCCCATAATCATAAGTGTTCTCATCATCCAAAAGATCATAAGAATGCATCTCTTGTTCATACAAAATTCCCACATCTGGGCATGCAGGGTCATACTCAGGATCTTCATAATCATAACCCACAAATTGGCCATTCAGCTCTCTGCCTTCCCCATCCAACAAGTACTCTGTATCATCTTCATTACCCAAGTTCTCTGACCCATTATCTACAAGAACATCAAAACCTGGGGGGGACTCCAACCACTCCTCTCGCTCAATATGGCCATCCACTGGATCCTCTGAACTTTGATCAGAACATTGAAGAGATCTGTTTTGCTCAAAGCCTTCTGCAGGAAGTAATGTGTCCAACCTAACCGTTGCAGCTTCTTCACATGCAGATGCTGAGACATGTGGAGCAGTACTCTGCTCAGCCAAATTATGAGGACTGAACTGGTGGAGATCATGTTTAGCCTTAACCTGTATGCCTGCTGTTTCCTTCAGGACAGTTTCATATGCTTTAGGGCGTGCTGTTAATGGTGCAGATCCTGCATCACCTGCTGCTGATGTCTTTTTATCCATGCTTAGTGCATCAGTGACTGCAGAAGCTGTCTTTGAGGGTATCAAAGCAGGTGCACCATCTTCAGGTCCATGCAGAAAAGAGCACCGGTCACCCTTGTTGCAAAACCCATTGAAATAAAAGTAACAGGGAACTTTTGTCTTGCTCGTGGTTACAGAAGATTGATTGTGTGGAGGGGCAGCATCAGAGGATGCCTCAGTGCCTGCATCCAATGGCTGTGGAAGGAACAAATAGAAGTTCAGATGACATAATTCAACAACTAACAGGTGATTAGGAGGCAAGAATTCAAACGGGATGAGCACAAGAAGGAACTTATATTCAATTCAGAAATAGTAAATGGGCGGATATAAGCTTCCAAACAAGAAGATGGCAAGAGGTGAGACAAACCAAGTTGGTGATACATCTAAAATAATATTGAAGTTAAGGCTATTCTAAGGTGTTCAAAACCTCACCTACCGACCAAGGTTGCTAATCTACTTATCTAAACTAATAGTGGCCAACCAAACAAGATTTAGATTTTGCAAAATCTGAGAGTATGAATGATATTCAACTGCAAAATAAATGTTAAAATTCAGCATTATATGAGCATTGGTCCTCCAAATATAATGTTCCCATTAAAGCACAATTCTCTACAACCAAAATAATGGAGTTTACTTACAAGTTCATTTTTTTCAAAAAGATGTAAGATTTGTCATGAAATATAAACTACTACTTCACAACACAACAAAAAATTCAGAATTTCCTGATATGTCATGAATTAAAATTTCAGTTGGGTAAACAATTATTTCAGTGTTAATAACCTTACACGGCTAACCTACAAGCACAATACTTATAGGTTTTCGAAAAGGTTTCAACAATACTTAAATTCTAACATTGACTAATTATATAAATTTATCCTAATATACAACCAAATCAAACAAATAATTCCAGATCTTTCACCTATTCCTGACGTAGGAACAAAGCACCTTCCTGTTCCCATCAAGATCCCCATAAACTGGCAATCATTAAAGAATAGAGGTGAGCGTCTGGGAGCTAGCAGTTCAAATTTAACCTGAATATATATATATTTCTGTTCCCAATCTAGTCCTCCCAGCACCCTGGGTTGATAAGATTAACATTAAGTATATGTCATTTCAACAAAAAGCCCTCCTGGACCAGCTTGAACGTTTATCTAATTCCCAAACACTCCGACCCTCATATGATGGACACATATTCCTTAAGATTAAGAATATCATTTAATTAAAATCCATTGGACAGGCAGATTCATAATTCTCAAAGCGACACAGTCCTAAGTTCTCATTTAGCATCAGAACTCCCACTCACTATAATGCAAAGCAGGAGCTTTTCTGGATTGTGTGTGTTTGTGTGCACATGAGATAAGCCAAGCCTTTCCATGCATACAACATCCCAAAATCTATAATGTACAACATAGATTAATGCAAGCAAGTAATGGCACATAGCAATATTAAACATCTATCTAATATTTCATCTAGGTAATTGAATTCTCAACTTATAAAAGCACAATAACGGTCAAGATTGATCTAATTCTCATATACTTGTTTCAATGTGCAAAATTCATTTCACATTTTTTTCCAACTTAAAAACTTCATCTTTTTTGTCTGGCCCCCAATGCCCGGCAACTCAACCAACACACTCCCCAATATGAAACAACCCCATTATTTCTTCCATACCTCTCTCTTATTTTCTCTCAGTTCACATATAAATATTGCACAATCAATGTTCAATTTTTGGTATTGCAGAGTATTTTCAGACATGGAGTGATTGCTAATACATCAATATTGCAAACTGGAGAACAAAAAACTCATTGCAATAAGATCAAGGCTACTTTAATAATTTCTAGTATTCTTGATAATGCAGTAACCTATTAGGATACTAGACAAACACTATTGCAGCAAAATTCACTCTCAAACTGTAATGACAACTTACAGGGTGCCGAAAAGCACAGGTTGGATTTAGACAGCTCCCAGACATCCAGTACCAGCAATCCCTTGGGTTCAGCCTGGCCATCTCACTGTGCCGATACTCGCATTCCATCCCCTGCAGAACAAAATCAGCACCACATAAATATTTCCTGCACAAAGCCTATCGTCCAATTCTTTTCCCTCAAAAGTAGAAAACTTGAACAAAAATTGGTAACATGGTTGCTCAAATGAACAAGCATATGCCTAGGCATCGATTATGCACTACATAAAACTAAATTTAGAACATTTCAACACTACTTGAAACTAATTGCTACTAATCAATCCACAAACAAGTATTCCGAGTATATAAATCTTAAAGTTTTCAACACCACTTGAAACAAATTGCTACTCATCAGTCCACGAACTCGTATTCCGAACCACTGAAAGGGGAAAAAAGAATAAATGAAACAAATTCAGGCCGAAAATGGAATCTTGAACTAATCTCTCCTTGATCTCAATTCCCAAAAACCTGAATTCCACGATTCCACACACAGCATAAGAATCAACGCCTCCGCATCAAAGAACCAACACACGTACAAGCATAACACAAAAAGAAAAAAAGCCCTACTAAAAAATCTTTGAACGAAACAAACCCTAACCGAGAGAAACCCTACATTCTGAAAACTCGCAGCCTTGAAAAACTATAACAAATAAAACAAAAACAAAATTAAAAAATTGGAATGTTTTCTGTGATGAACCTTCTTGCAGGTGAGAGGAGAGGCCAGGAAGTAGACGCAATCTGTGTTTCGTTTCTGTAACTCCTCATCCATTTCTCCAGTAGAGAGAGAAAAAAAAAAAAGAGAAGTTCGTGTTAGCTGGAGATTGAATTTCTACAGAGAAGTCATGAAACTCATTGGGTTTTGGAATATCTAGAGAGAGATCATACCACCAGTTACAGTACGTGTGTGTCTGCGTGTGTGTGGGGAGAGAGAGGGAGAGAGAGAGAGAGGTATTAGGGTATGTTGTGTTAGGTTTAATTGGAGTTCCTTGACGGTGGGGGTTTTGAATTTGGTGTTTTTGCAATGAAGCTCCTGAATTTTTGTTTATGCCTGTATAAATACCCTATTATACGTCTTATTTTATATTAATATTTTTTTTTTGGATTAGAGACAACGGAGTATAAAAATTTCGTTTTAAAACGATCATAACGTCTAAAATATTTATGTTTTCAAGAGAACCGAAACAAATTAGTTATAAAATCGAATTTTTAATATTTCGAGATGTTTTTTAATGTTTTGAAATATTTTATTATATTTCATACATTTGCACAATTATTTATTTTAAAATATTTTGACATATTTCAACTAATGTTTTCAAAAAATAATTTTTATTTTTATTTTTATTTTTTTTAAATCTATTTTCGAAGCGGTTTGAAATGTTTCCGAAACACTTCAAAGCGTTTTTGTTTCTTAAAAGTGCGCTTGAAAACGTTTTTGTATTTATGTTTTTTTTTTATAAAAAAATAGAACAAATTTTTATTTTTTGTGGTAAAAATTAAAAATATGGAACATGTTTAGTAGTCATTTATATTTAAAAAACTATGAAAACAAAAATAAAAAAGTTGGTTGGTATTATACCAAATATTCACCGCCCAAACCCCACCAACAAAGGGCACTAACCACCCAAAACCACCACCTAACCCCACTGACCACCCAACCCCACCATCGAAACCCACCCCCACCATTGAAAATCACCACCACAACCACCGCAACCCACCCCCTCCACCACCGAAACCCCACCATTAAAACCTATCACCACAACCATCGAAATCCATCACCACAACTATCAAAATCCAATCTCAATCCAACCACCGAAACCCACCCAAACCAACACTGAAACCATAACCACCTAAACTCATTCCCACAACCATTGAAACCCACTCCCAATCCAACCCCCATCATTGAAACCCACAACTCACTCCCACCATCATAACCAAAACTTATAAATAGAGATGTCAGTGAACCAAAGCGAGGGCAGGAGAGTATAGTTTTTATCCCCGTACCCGCTTAAAAAAATTTCATCCACCTCCGTTAACGAGTATAATTTTCATCATCATCCTCATCCGCAGGTAAATTTCTAATCTCCGTCCCCGTCCCCGCTTCCCCCGTACCCACCTAAGCCCAAGTTCAACGAGCATAATCTAAAATTCTAAGTAAATCTTGTTAAACAATCTAATAAAAAAGAAATACAAGAAATAAGAAAAAATGAGGTTAGAGTTTTATTAAAGGAGGTTAGAGTTTTATTGATATTGCATAATTCAATTGAATGCAAAAAAATGATTTAACCTAAATACAAAGAGACTATATATATACTAAACAAAGGAAAAGTAAATGACTATTCTACCCTTAATAAGCAAAATGACCCTATATTTCTTAACATCTCCCCTCAAACTTACAATACGGCAGCTACAAGCATCGAGAGTTTGTCAACTAGAAAACGAAAACGGGAAATAGAATGCAACTTGATAAAGAAATCTGCAATCTGCAAAGAAGAAGAAATAAAGGACAAAGTAATGGTGTCATGCTTGAGATATTCTACTTCGATTGAAGATTGAGAAACAATAGATTGTTTCTTGTTCTTCCAAGAAATAAGAGAATCACCCAAAAAGATATAGAAACCAGTAACAGACTTGCGATCTGTGGGATCACTGTCATGATTAGCATCAGAGTAAGCACACAGCTCCAAGGAAGAAATGGATGGAAATAAAAGACTCTGAAAAACTGTACCTCGAAGATACCGCAAAATATGAAGAACAGTTGTCCAATGAACTGTAGTAGGAGAAGCAACAAACTGACTAACAACATGAACATCATATGCAATATTTGGACGAGTAATAGTGAGATATATCAAACTCCTAACAATAGTACGGTATAAAGTAGGATCTGACAAAGGTAAACCATCAGAAGAAAAATACTTTGCGTTAACCTCAATGGGAGTATCTATAGTCCTATTATCAGTAAGTCTAGCTCGCGCAAGAATATCTGCAACATATTTTCACTGAGAAAGAAGATAACCTCCGGGTGAGCAAGCTACCTCAATACCCAAGAAATATCATAGAAAATCCAAATTCTTCATTTCAAACTGTCTAGCTAACTCTGTCTTCAAAACTGAAATACAATCAATAGCATCACCAGTAATAATCATGTCATCAACATATAAAGACAGAATGATACGACCTGCATCAGTGCACTTAACTAAAAGAGCATAATCATACTAAAAGCAAATTCAAGGAAAAAGATCACAACAGAAAATTTTTCAAACCAAGCAAGAGGTGCTTGTTCGAGACCATATAACGCTTTCTTGAGCTTGCAAACATACCCAGAAATCATGTGAAATACCAGGAGGGGGCACCATATAAACTTCTTCTTGAAGATCTCCATTCAAAAAGGCATTTTTAACATCAAGTTGAGAGATATGTCACTGACGAACAGAAGCAACTGCAATAAGAGTACGAATAGTAGTCATTTTTGCAACAGGAGCAAATGTCTCCTCATAATCCATACCATACTGTTGAGAGTACCCTTTTGCAACCAACCTAGCTTTGTATCGCTCAACATATCTATCAGAATTAGTCTTGATCTTATACACCAACAACAACCAACAACACTCTTACCAAAAGGTAGAGGAACCAAATCTCAAATACCTATTTTATGCAAAGCAGAAAGTTCCTCATCCATAGCTTGCTGTCAAAAAGGATCAAGAATTGCCTCTTTATAGGTAGAGGGCTCAAAGAGACAATGAATAGAAGTTAAAAAGGAAGTAAAATATGAAGAATAACAAGAATAAGTAAAATCTGGTAATTTTGTGGACTTACAAATGCATATAGATTGACGTAGAGGTGGATCCACAATCTCAAATGGAGTTTGAGGGTCCATAGGAGAAAAGGTAGCTTCAGGTGTGCTAGAAAGTAAGTGTCAGTACTTGCAGAATGATCAGTACGAAAT